TGAAGGGTTCATTCGAAAGCAAAATGTGGGCGACGGTACCCGATCAACAGGGCGTAATTCGCGATGAGAAGGAACTATGGCATAAGTGAAAGGCAATCAACAATCTACAGTCAGTAGGCAGATACAGTCTTGTTCTCTGCGGATGCTGGGGCGTGTCGGGGAAGCTGCTTTTGGCCCGACATCCAGCCCCTTTCCCGCTGATCGTTGTCGCTTGGTGGAAAACGGACTGGCGCCGCGCCAAACCCAGCCCCTTGACGCGCTCCAGCATCCGCAATGAACAAGATTGAATGAGTGTCCAGTTTTTCAAAAGGCTTAATTAAGGGCAAGGGTCTCATTCTAGTGATCTTCCTCATAGTAAAATATCGATTTTTACAAAACATGGTAAAATTTTTTACAGTTCGTACTGTTCCGCGGGAATTCGCTAGCCTATAATCGTGGTGGTCTCCTTATGTCGGCGCGGTCATCGTCCGCTGTCGCTCGTCTGAACGCCGTCGTCAAAAATAACCTTTTCTCGTGGAACAGCAACAGTACCACCATTGCTCTCTACGGTAACAACTACCAGGTAAATGCTGCTTCCAGACCGCTGTTCACACCTGTTAAAACATTATCTTAAAGATGGTAACCATGCTGAACAATATCATCTCGCACAACTACGCTCTCTACTACGACACCGTTAAAATCCACGACATGTCGGTGAACCTGACTAGGAATATCTTCTATGCCAATGTGGGGCTGCATACTGTCGACTCAAAAGGGTAAGCGGTGTTTTCTTTGTAGGTTCAGCGCTCAGAATTGGAACTCAAGATTTCAGATATTCTCGTATAACATCAGAGACTCAGACGTTCCTCTATAACAACTTTGAGGAAAATATTGCCCTCGGTCATGGTCATCAGTACATGGTGAGTAATACTGCCTACTCCTCCTACAGGTTCTGCGTCCTAAATGCCGCTTTCAAAAGCAGCGGAGCAAAGAGCGCACACAGCCCCTGCACTAGCGATTTTCCTTTTGA